TAAGTAGTATAATGTGACTAATAAATTTTCTGAGGAAGAATATCCAAATATGATTTAAATCTATATAATTTTAAACACTATTAATAGAACATTCTGTATACATTAGATCTTTAATGAATCTTGAATGAATGAATAAGTACTAATCTAGAAATATTGACTAAGTTTTCATAGCTTTCTGCCAGAACAGTTTCCTCTATTAAATAATGGTTTTCATTAGGCAGGCTTTTTGCACAGAAGTTAAGATGAAGATGCTGCTTGAAGCAATCATACCTCAAACCATTTAGTGCCTAGGGTTGAGTTCTGACTCTACTTCTGCTCTAACTTCCTGCTAATGCACACCATGGAAGGCAACAGGTGATGGCTTCAGAAGATGGGTCCCTGCCACCCTTGTGGGAGACCTGAATTGATATCCTGGATCCTGGCTCTGGCCTGAGCCATTGTAGATGCTTGAGGAGTAACCCAATAGTCAGGAACCTTCTTTCTCTATCAGTCTGTCTGTGTGACTCATTTTCTTTCTACCTCTCTTTCTCTCTCTGACAAAAAAAGTGGCATTGTACTAGTGAATCCGAGAAATACATGTAATTATAAAATAGATAATTCTGAAAATACAAGAAACTTTGCTTAATGATATTATTACATAGGTTCTTCTATTTTAAGTCAAATTTTAAATTGTAATTCTATACAGCTTTAATAGCAAACTATAGGATTAAGTGATTATTTTCAAAGATTTTTAAATAAACACTAAGAAATAACTTCAATGGAAAGTAATGGTAACAAGCTCTTCTGATAATTTTTATAATATCACTATGGAAGGCTATTATCTAATTTTAGCATCTATATATTTATAAGCTAAAATATTAAGTGTTTTATGCTTATTTATACTAATTAAATAGTCCTTTAGACATAGTTGAACATTTCTTTTATTTTGCTTATAGACATAACAAATATGGTATGGTAACAAATAATCTATGTAAAACAAATTTACTATTTTCAAACTTTTATTCATATGTCCAGATTAGTTCAAATATCATCTGTGCAGCCCTCCTTGCCTTTTATATTTAGAGGTCGTCATTCACTGATTTTAATTCATTAAAAATTTTAGGATACTCTTCTGGCAATATTAGTCTTTAAATTAGTAATAATTTTTTAATTATGTAGACTATTTCATGGCATAGATTCTATTTTTCATACTTATATCCCTACTAAATACTTCAACACCATGCATATGGAAAGAGTTAAGATACATTTGGCAAACAATAACAAAAATAACAATAATTAGCATTTGTCAAAAACTTAAGTCAATATTCTAAATTATTTAACTCAACTACACTATGAGGCATGAATTTTCAGTTATTGAGTAGTTGTGACTTTGGGAATTGAATTTATTGCTTGAAATCATAAAGCTAAGAAAGGGCAGAGTGTGGATTTAACCTAGTTCTCTGACTTCCAAACTCAGCATGGATGATATGCAATTGGTTTATATCTTGGTACTCAAGGAAATGGTTAAAATGTTTTGCACTTCAATGCACCATCATCTTTCATCTTCACATTAACACTATGTAAAACAACCTGAACTTGCAGACGTCATGAAAAACTATACTATAGGAATCTTATCTTTTTGCTTGTAACTTCAGCTAAATAAAATCTATTTCATCAATACTTTTCATATAAAATTTATTGGTTTTATAGTTTTCTTCTGCTTAATTATAAATTGTCTTTTATTTTAAAAATGTCCAAGGGAATATAAGCAAGTAATTTACATACATTTGCATGTGAATTTTGAAGTGTTAATAAAAGTAATATATTATTCTGGGTTCATGATCATAGTTTTGCCTTTATACACTGTTTTTTATGACTGTGACAAAATTTAATACATAGTTATCATTAATATGTAAATATGTAGATATCTGATTGCACTGAAAAATAGAATTCAAGTATTTTAGTATATTGATGAATTTTCTAGTAATTAGAATTGTAAATATTTATTCTTTTGTATAACCAATATTTTTAAATATATCAGAAACTTACTAGGAAATGCAACATGAATAAGATCCACCCATCTTTTTCCTCAAAGAGCTTAAAATTTACAGAAAATGCATTAAGAGTGATCGATTATAAGTGTAGAGAAAATGTAGGCTATACTGGCAGGTTATAAGAGGAAGACATAACCTTCTAAGAGGTTATAATTTAAGCCAGATCCTGGAAAGCAAATTGGAATGATCTGGTTGAAAGGAAGGACTAGTCTAAGAGTGTGGCTTGAGGTCAGAAATAATAGGGTATGTTTGATCAATAAAAAAGATTTTTGATCACTTGCCCCCCTCCCAAAGTAGGAAATTATGAAAATTGCAAGAGATGAATTTGGAAATGTGAACAAAAGCCAGAACAAGCAAGTTCCAGTGGGTCATGAACACGTCTTGGCTTTATTCCTAAGTAACACAGAGACTATGGAAATTTTCAAAGTGAGGTTATATGATCGGATTTTCATTTTTAAGACAACTGCTGACTACATAATATAGACATTGAATTAAAAAGTCTTTTTTATGATTAGCTAGAGTAAGTAATTTGTTTCGAGTTATGTTTATTGACTTGTTTTAAAAAGTAACTTAAAATAGATGATTTGCTTCCTGTTTACCCCATATATCTCTCTGGTACTCTGATCAACCAGGAGTTTTACAAAATCTTTCTTCTACACATGGATAGGTTTATTTATGTTCTCCAATCTATTTCAATCTATTGAAATAAGATGAAAGAGATTATTTATCTTTATTTTCTTCAAAGCAGAACCTGATTCTCAACAAGCACTTGTAGCTATATTTTAGAGCTGGAATTATCTCTTTTTAAAATATTATCCTTTTATGTCAGTCAATTCCAACTTAGAAATTTGGACCTGCTAGGAATCAAGTCTCTGAAGTCCGACATTTTTAATCTATGAGAATAAATATATATTTTGAGGGCTTTGAAACATATTAACAAATAGACAATTTCCTTTACACTTAAGGTGGATAATTTATTTTTGCCCATGCTGCTAAAAGTTTGAGTTAAAAATGAATAAGTAGCCAATTGAGATCACTGAGATAATAATAGATAATTAAAGAAGAAACAGAAAAAAGAAGAAACAGAAGAACCAATTTAATTTAAATAGAGATTTTATAAAAGTCAAAACATTTAAGTCATTGAGAATAATTAAGATAGCATTCAAAATTTTTTCCATATAACATTTTACATATACTTTAAACATAAAAAATTGAAATATATTTATTTCGGAGTAGATGGCACCATTGAATGAATATTACATTCAGATGGACCATTGTAGCAAGAATATAGGAAAAGTTTAAACACATATTGGCTCCAAAAAGCAGTGGGAGATTATGATAATAATTGAGAAAATCTGAATACTGATTTGAAATCTGCCAAGAAAATACTCTGGAATGCTTGAAACTGGCTTAAATAGAAAAAAAAAATTATACAGGATGATCTTTAAATTACTTTGCTTAATCTATACTTGACTACCTTTTCTCTTTTCAATCTGAATTATTGTTCCAAGTTCTGCAAAACAATAAATTTATATCTTCAGAGCTTTTCAAACTATCTGATGGCAAACTGTTTAGACAAGTATGATCATTTAATTTTTACAACTTGTCAGAAATTACTCTCCTATTTGATAAGTAATAAGATAATTCCTAGAATGTTTGTCAATGTTAGCACATGGAATTTTCCAGAAAGTGAAAAAATATATTTGTTTCTTAATCAGTATCTTACTATGATTTCACCCATCTCTATCTTTGGAACTGTCCCCTTAATAAAGCAAATGATAGTTCTTAACAGGATAGCTATATTCACAGGAACAGCAAAACTCATGATAGGAAAGTGAATAGATAAGCAAGATATTGATTTATTTCTTTAAGGAACACTACCATATGTAAAAAATTCATTTTAGAATGCATCTTATTCATTGTAATATTTTCAATATAAATTATAATTGATATTTTTGTATTATTTATAATTAACTTATGTAAAGATGTCTTGATTTCTCTTTATATGCTCTAAGCATTCATTGTTTTTCCATTACTTATACCATGATGCCTAATCACACTACATAAACTGTAGCTAGTTTAGAGAATATATGGTGATGAGCTGGAAATGCAGAACATATTTTATATCTGAAATACATTCAATTAATTATTATTTCCACTGACACATATATTGATATAAATGAAGTTCTTTTATTTTTATACAGCATTATTTTTTTCCTAAGCTGTTCTATGAAACTTACCTAGAAACAGAAAAGAAGCTTGTTGCACTCCTTAATTTTGAAAAAGGTTATCATATTAAATCAGTACAAAATTACCAATAAATGATTGTATTTTATATTTTTTCTCTCAAAAGCAAATTAGTAAGTTAAGGGATATTTAAATCTTGAAGCCCTAATATCAATCAATGTATGTTGAAATTTCAAAATGAGAAATCTGCTTTCAATACAGTCAATAGCTCAAGTAATTTAAACTACATAAAACAATCATCAGACATAATGTTTAAATCTCCCACAAATTATCTATTTTTCAACTATTACTATTTGTATAATATAAAATTTCATGCAAACATGGAAAGTTACTATATGAGATGAATCATCTATGTGAAATATGTGCACTTATTAATAAAGACTAGCTACTTTGTTTTCCTGTTACCACAACATTATAACTAATACACAATAATAGGCATTTAGTACTTATTTTTACTATCCTTTTTTAATACATTCTTTCCTATCTACTCTTACCCCCACCACCCTCCAACATTTGCATTCCACTCTGAATTATTAATTTCTGTGCTTTCAAATTATTCCAATTTGGCTGTTTCTATCTATAGTTTTCAGCTAATTTGAATTCTTTTTTTTCCCCTTGATAAATCTTGGCTCTCTTTTAGCTCATTCTCTTATTAGAATCATTACCAAAATATGGCTTTGGCTGTAACTAAAGGGGCACAAGTAAAATAACATCCAATACCTCTATGAGTAACAACTGCAAGCTCTTTAGTTCTTTCTATCTGTTCAGCATTTCTTGGTCTTCTCCTTGTACTTTGTGTATCTGCTTGATGAGGAGAGAGCCCGTCCTTGGACGTGTTGGGGTCCAGACCTGAATTTCTGAGATTCGTAACTTGCATTCGCTGTTCCTCGGAAAGTCTATGGATGGTGACAGCTGTAACACTGGATACAGTAACATCTGCAGGTGTGCTAGCAACAGCAATTGCACCAGTGGCAGTCCTGTTATGCTCCTCTAACTCACCAGTGGAGGTAGTGAGGGTCAATGTAGAAGAACCTGTGGGACACAGTAGCACTAGATGCTAACTTTTTCTTTTAAATTTTGCTTTTTTTGAAAAGTTTAATAAATTATTTTCTCTTCTATTACCTTAAAGATAATCAACATGAAGAGGCAAAACACAAATACACTACTAAAATGTGAGGCAAGTCAATTTGTAGGCTTCTTCATATCAATCAACCTATGAATAGACATTATACACAAAATACATCACGTTTTAACTGTAATACACTGGTGGGAAGAGTGAAAGAATAAACCCTTTATAGTGCTCTGAATCAATCTTCTGCTTTTATTCTTTTAACCCACAGATTAATTTTAGCAATAAATTCCTGGCAAGTGACAGGTATTGATGGAATAGGTAACTATGCAACCACACTTTTCTCAAAGTATGCTTTGAACAGTCTGTGCCATAAACTCCTCATAATTTCTGGGAAGAATATCAAACTTTTCTATTGTAAGACAAACAAGAAAAGAAAGGAGATTTTAAATCAAAGCCAAAATAAAAACAAAATCATGAAAAACAAGACTCTTAAATCATTGCATGTAAATATCTTAACCTTATTTGCCAGAAAGCAGCCAACATTGTAATATATTCAATGTCATGATATTAAATGTTTGAAAATTTAGTTCATTAAAATTATGTAATATTTTCATGATTTCAAAGTAAATATTTGATTGGTTAATTTTGAACTAATTAAACTAAATTAATTAGTTTAAAAGTGGTTAAAATTAACCATCTGTCAGCATTTAACATCTATTCATACAACCCAAGCTTTAACTAACAGTTGGGAATTTTCATATATCTTTTCTATGAATTGCAGTGAGAATAGATTTCCATGTAAATGTATGTTTGTAAGTATAACACTGCTATACTATATTATATATATTTATATATTATTCACATTCTTATCCTTACTGAAGTTTCATTATAATTTAAAAATATGTATTTGGTATGCCAAGATAGGATTTTATTTTTTCTTTCACTTAAATTTTTTAAAGGTTGTACTTAATAGTATATGGTTATCATGCAATAAAAAAGGTAATCTTAAAAGCATAAAAATGAATCAAAATGTATTTAAAAGGATCTTGACTGCTAAAATACTGAATGGGGAAAATCATTGAATTTTAGAGATACAGCTACTTATTGGGAATCATATTATCATAGTCAGATTCTGATTAGGAGACTCTTGAATTTTTTAAAGTCAATGAGGGGTATATATTTTTATTTACCTTTCTTCTCAATATTCAATGTTTAGCTATTTTAGAAGATAATATACATAGGGAAATCTTAGTATTTCTAAAAGGATAGTGATGATATGATTAAATATGATTTAAGAATGACCTGTTTTTCTTCTGTCTTGTGGGCAGGTGATAAGTAAGATTATTAAATTTGTTTCTTGCCTGAAACTAAAAAAAAAAAAAAAGAAACAAAGCCAAATAGGAGGCCTTCAATAATATACAAAATTTTAAAAAAGTATACCTTTCTGTTACTAATACTTCCAGTATGGGTGATCAAATCCTACTTTAATTTTTGTGCAAATTCAAAAGTATTAAGTTATGATTACATGTTGCAGGGACTAACATAAACTAACATGAGGCAAGATGATTATTAGATTATCTTAACAGCATAATATATTTTAAGCATTGATATGAATACAGCTGCTAATGAATATTTTTCCAAGCCAAGGTTTTATAAAAATTAGGATCTATTAGATTTGTGTTAGGTATGCATTTGGGCTTGTAATATTTTTATATTGTAACATAAACTAATATTTCGTAAAAGTTTTCTTTGATCACATGACCAAGTAACAACTATGCTTATAATACTAACATATAATGTGCGGGACAATAAATCATGTATTTGGGATGTCCATGTGCTCATCATTATGAAAATTGGTGCAAATTATTCTCCTAGCAATTAAATAAAATATTCTATTTTTGAGAAGACAAATTTAAGCAGGATGAAAAACTAATACTTTAAAACTTTTTGCAACTCCATCATATTTCCAGCCTTTGGGGTTTAATTTAAACAAAGAAACCATTAAACTAAGTCCATGTTTTGCTAATGATAAACCAAAATAATGAGAATTGTGATATTCATACTCTCTCTCAAATATTCTCAAAGGACCCCTACCTTTCACAACAGGATAAGTCAAATTATCATATTTCATCACTGAGTCATTAAGGTTAATATCAAATAATCTCTTGTATCTGGGTCAATGATTCTGGGTTAATTCTTGAGAACAATAATTTTTGGGACCCGACTCTTGGGTCAAAAATTCTGGGTTAATTCTCTACAACTCAAGACCTACAGACCAAATAGACAAACACACATTTTTCTGAAGATACTAGGGGATAAATATAATTACAGACCAAATTTTTGAGTTAGACATGATCTTTGTAGTGTTTTGACCCAGGACTTGCTAGTAACCCCAATCTTCAAAAATCTTCAGTATTACAGGAATACTTCTCACTAATGGTGGTGGTAATTCCGTCCAATATCCTTAACAGGATAGGGTTTAATGTTGAAATAAATCATTGAAAAGCACTGTTTTTTAATAGCCATAGCCTAACCTAACCTGATATAAACATATATTATACTAATCAGTTGTTACGTTTTAAATTGTTTTTATTCTTTATCCTCTCCTAACGAGAATGCAAGCTCCATGAAGGCTGAGATTTTTGTATGTTCTGTTCATTGCCTGATCCTTACCATTGTTAACAGTACCCTGCACACAGTAGATGTTCAAGAAACATTCATCAAAAGAAAGAATAAATGAAAGAATGGATGTAATAACAGGGCAAAATAATATTAGTAATAATAAACAGAGGATAAATTTCACAAACGAAACATAATTATAGTTTTGTTTTTTTTTTCATGGCAAAGTCACCTTTAAACAATGACAAAGATGAAGACCCATTCTAAATGTGCAGGGGGTGAAGAGAAAGAGGAAACAGATAATGTTGGTTTTAACTTTCAAAAACATTACTTTGAAAAAGTGTGGAAACTGAAGATTTAATTGCAAAATTAAAAATCACTTCAAGATTTATGTCTCATTTCCCAAATATGAAAGTTTATTCTGTTAGTGTGAAACAGATTTAAACAGAGTGTTCAAATTTCTGTAGAGCAAAAAATGGAAATATCCCAGAATTGCAGAAAATAGAAGGTCATCTAAATTTAGTTAGATTTGTTTAACACAAATAGTGGAACTATAAAAACAACACTGGTTTTTATAGGCCAGTAAAATAATTTATCACCATATACTTATGTAATATATATTTACAACCATTTTATTTAAAATGTGAAGCAATCTAGACTGCTGATATTGGTAGCACTTTAAGTCACCAGTGTCTCAAACACAAATTTTTCAGTTTTCAAAATGCATCATTTAACAGTTTGAAAACATTCAAAATTTTTGCATATATTACTGATTCATGAGGTAATTGCTAGTGTTAGAAAAGCCTTAGAATTGTATATAGTACTGCTTCAATATTAAATATATATTATAGCCAAACCTATATTAAAATATATATTATTTTCTTTCTCAAAAAGAAATGAAGTATGCTGCACAATTATGTAAATGTTGTTTCTGGTAGTACAATTAGATATATATATATATCAAGATACATAAATTAAAAAAGGAAATTATACATTCAAAAATTTCATTCTTCATTTGAAATCAAGTCATGTAAACAAGGTAAGTTTATCACAATTAGACTATTCTATCATAAATTACTTGAAACATTTTTAAAACAAGATATTTACAACATAAAAACAAAATCCTGGAATATAAGTTTATTAATATTTTTAACAAAACATTTCACAACAAGAACAAAAATAAAATGAAATGATTTACATACATGCACATGCTTCTATAAATCAAAATTATATGTCATCTTTAAAGAATAATGAAAAATGACATATGCTACATATGTAAATTGAAAAGTTTATATCACAATAATATACACAAGCTTAAATTTGGATTATTATATATTTTAGTTAAAATTAAATTTTGCATTTTTTAATTTTTACAAATAAATCTCCAAAAGAAAAACGCATGACAAAAGCATAAGCCTTTAATAAATAAATAATTTAGAAAATCTATCAAATAAAATCACATAACATGATTGAATTTGAACTTCTTTTGAGTAACATTTTACACTTAAGCATTGTTTTTAAGTTTTATGCTTCCTTGAGCTTTGTTATTATTTCTAATTCCTTACAGAAGAACGAAATATGTTGCTAGAGATATGAGTGGATGGCTCAAAATACATACGAAACAAGTACATGTTAAAGATAATTGCATATTCAAAGAGGTTACTTTTAGATAATTATGTTTGGCACATTATTTTATGTAAATTAGTTTTATATATTCTGTTCCTTCCTTTAGTTTTAGGGGTTGCTTAGGAAACATTTGAAAGTTTAACAAAATAATAATAATTTTATGAGATGAAGAAAATGCAACAAACATTAAACATGAAAACATGTAAAATGCAAAATATTCATACAAAATGAAAATAACAAAACAAAATTTAAATCTTACTAGTGTGACAAAAATTTCATTTAATCTATCACTTAAGACATTTATTTAAGAATATATAATTTGATCTTTTTTCTTTCTTTTATTTAACATTACTTACAAAAAATGTATGGGAAAATATGTTAGGCCATAAGGATACTTGCAAATTAATTGAATATGAGAGACTGAATTGAAACAAATTCACTGATTTTCACAGATCAAATGTTACAGTTTTCATTACACATACAACAGTTGAGAAAACAACTGAAATATCCTTGCATTTTAACACTGTTATCTCCTGTATCCTAAAATGTGAATTTAATAGTTTAAATTCATGGATGTGCTTATATTATCAATACTAAAGTTAAAGAGGTGGGTAAATTGAAAAAGAATATGGCCTTTAAAAATACAGAAGAAATATAAATGCTCTACCTTTGATCTTTGTTAGCTTCTATAAAATTATTTAGGCAAATTTTTAGT